TACTAGATCCATGCTAGACGAATCTTCCACGCGTTCCGTTTTAGGATCGTGGAGAGACGTATGATTACTACGACAACCTACTCTATCACACTTCATAGTCTCCCGCGGGAAGCCAGATCTACGATCCCTTGATGATGATCTCTCTCGTTGATTAGTTTTCATAGCTTTCTAATCTCTCTCATAACTTTCTTTCTCTCAAACTCAAAACACTCGAAAGATCTTTACACTAGCTTTTAGCGTAGTGCAGCAGCTTCACCGTGTCAGCATCTTCCATTGCTTCTTCCGTTTAAGCATGATGCTATCAAACGAGTACCCCTGCATCGTGGCTTCAAGGAACATGAACTCTTCATCTGTCACATCTTCGTCGAGCTGATTGAAGAAACTAGGAAAAGGAATGTCGTCGGATCCTTCTTCTTCATCTGAATCATCATCTTGCTCTTGCACTCGGACACAGTCTGGTGGACAATATGCTTCCGTTACGGATTGCAGGTCATCGTTCGACACCTTGTGCCGTGTGAAGTTGTGTGCGCAGTCTTGTAAGTTTTGAAGGAATCTAATGTTTTCATCGGTGAAGACGGTTGGCATGTCATCTTGTTGACGTTTCGTTTCATCATCATTGTACACTTCTCTGAGTTTATTCGTGTAGGGTTTCCGACCACTGTACCCGATAGGAACAAAATCAGATTGGGATCGAAAGGGCATGAGTAGCGACAAAGCGCTCTGGCTGTACTGTTCCATTTTGATACTGATTTGATCCTGTGGACACGTAAGCATGTTCGCTCGAAAAAGGCTTGTGTCTGGAAAATCCCACTGAGTAACCTTGATCAATTTGTTCTTATCCGATTTCACAGGACATTGACTGGGCAATCCATACGTCCCTTTCTTCTTCTTCAATTGCTTCGATGATGGATGGATGAAATGATCCGTGTTCTCGAACCGCCAGAATGTCTTTTCGCCGTTCCTCTTACGCTTCTTTTTCGCCTTTGTCATGTCCCATGCAAAGTAACCTTCATAAAATTGACGAACTGACAAGGACTCCAGGTCTGTGCTGCGACAGAGATAATGGAATGCTTGATTCTCGAAGAACAGACTTCCGTCCGACGACAGCTTTGCATCCACTGTGATTGCTTCTTTGTTCAGCAAACGCAATATGTCCTTCAGAGGGCAATATACGAACTCATGTGCACTAAGCTAAAAGCTAGTGTAAAGATCTTTCGAGTGTTTTGTGTTTGAGAGAATGAAAGTTATGAGAGAGATTAGAAAGCTATGAAAACTAATCAACGAGAGAGATCACCATCAAAGGATCGTAGATCTGGTCTCCCGCGGGAGACTATAAAGTGTGATAGAGTAGGTTGCGGTAGTAATCCTACGTATCTCCACGATCCTAAAACGGAACGCGTGGAAGATTCGTCTAGCATGGATCTAGTAGCGTGGAAGTACTCCACGCTGGCTAAATATCTAGAGCGATGTTTCATCATCAACCTAGTATGACTAGAGCGGTCATTGAGAACCCTGTCTCAATAACTATTCACGAGAGACTCAGTCATGAGTCGAACTCAAACCCTATCTAGGATCGAGTCGCGAATAAGGCTAAGAGCCGTGTATTGCATTCGCCCCCTGACAAGGGTCACAGAAGGCACGACATCAGTCGGACAAGGAGAACATATGAATTAAAGTGCGGGGCACTCTCGGGAGATTGGATGTAGACATGTGCGTCCCACGATGGCAATCCTACAAGAGGATCAGACCTTGTATGGGTGTAAATACCTTATGTTCCAAGTCTGGTAGACTGTGCCGCCATTGGCGGTAGCATGTCGGAGCCGTACAGTGCCATTGTTATTGACTCGGTCTTTATTGTGAGGACCTTTGTACTTTGGCTGACCGTACTTGCGGTGCTGATCCTGTTGAAACCTCACAGTATCGTTGACATTGTATTGATGAGGGACACGCGTCGCGTTTTCCTTATCATTGTTTTTCTGGATGAGTCGTTGGCGACGTTCTTTGATGTGTTTCCAGTTTACTTCGAAACGGACGTTGTGAATCGCGTCACGATTGAACACGTGTGGTAATGAACTTGCGATGAAGTCCATATTCATCCCGGAGAGTCTTCTCGACTTCTGCGCGGAACTCACGTTCTCTATCCATGATAACCTCAGCAGGCCATGGATACTGGGTGAGCCACGTCTGTTCTAGAACGATGGCTACTTCGTCTGCTGCATTGGAGCAGATCTCGGCAATCTCGAACAATTCGGTTACGGGATCAATCATTGTCAAGCAATGAAATGGACAGGGATTCCTTTTCTTGGGATCCCCGATGTTGTATGTACATGTGATCGTCTGATCCATATGTCTCGATAGTAGTTCACCAGTCCAATGAATCTACCAAGTTTCTTCCTGTTCGTAGGAGGAGCGATATTCTGGATCGCATCTATTTTCTTGGTTACGGGTTGGATTCCTTCTCAAGTAATCCCAGTAGCCTAAGTATCAAGTTCTCCTTCTTCGAAGAAGGACTTGGTACATTGATCTAAGTCCGGCTTCTCGAAGCCTTAGGAGACTTCATCTAACTATTCAACGTGATCCACTAGATCGCCGTTAGTGTAGGATGAGTGATCATCAATGTATGCACGGACATTTTCCAAGTCGTGCATGAGTGTTCCCATCTTCCTTTGGAAGATGTCGGGACTATTGCATAGGCCCATTGGTACTCGCTGGTACTCGTATTTCCTGAATCCGTCTAGATTCAGTAGCATGTCTTGTATCCTTGGGATCGGACAAGGTTTTTGCTCAATCCTTCTGTTCAGTTCCCGGACGTCAGAGATGAACCGTATAGATCCATTCTTTTTGGGAATGATAAATGTTGGTGCCGTCCACTCGGAACGGTTTACCTTCTTAAGTGCTCCTGCGTCGCAGAGACGTTCGACCTCTGTCTTAAGAGCAGTCACTAAAAAATAGGTCGCACCCAATATTGGTCGATTGGTTTTTGGCTGGAACCCAAATCGAAACCTATTCAGTCACTAACTCATTTCGGTCGAGATTTAGGTTGCGACCGAAATCGACCGGTCGTTCCACTGGTCGATTCAAGGTCACTTTGCGACCAGTGGATCGACCAGGTCGCTGTTTTGGTTGTAGCCACAAATCCCTCAAATTGGTTCTTTTTTAAAGAACTCATTGCACAGCCTCACTATCAGAGCATCGCGACAGAGCTGATAGAGTAGAGGTGCAATCGATCCTCTTCTTGGATCGATCCTATGGATACTCCCACGGACGCACCTCTCATTGCACAGCCTCACTATCAGAGCATCGCGACAGAGCTGATAGAGTAGAGGTGCAATCGATCCTCTTCTTGGATCGATCCTACTAGTATGGATACTCGCACGGACGCACGTCTTCTGAGTCTTGTTAATTACTTTCGTTAAGTCTTTGTTTAAGTTCGTTAAATCCAGTACTGTAGTGTTTGTTTAGTCAGTGTTTGTTTTGAGTCTTATTATCTCCAAAGATTAATCACTTCTGTTAAGTCTTTGATCAGCCTGTTAAATCTTTTTAAGTCCTTTAAGTCCAGTACTGTTTCGGCGACCTATTTTGCAACCGAAATTTTAGTGATTGAATTGGTCAATTAGGTATCAGTCGACCGATATGGCGACCCAATTTTAGTGAATGAAAAAGGTCGCCGTTTGGGTCGACCAGATGGGTATCTATTTGGGAACGACCAATAGTGCGACCTATATTTTTAGTGACTGCTCTAAGAGTGTTGGTATGGACACGTGGAGTAGGATAAGCCCTAGCGTGATAGGGTTTAGCGTCAGGACGAAGTTCTACTTCGTAGTCGTCCATTTGTCGCTTTCCTAAAGTACCTTCGAATTGGTCGGAGCACTTGGTCAATAAGGCATGAAGCGGTTCCTGCTCTTCCTTATTTACCTGGTTTTGACTCTGGCATATCTGCCTTAAGTCAGGTCGTTCGTATTTTGCGTCAAGAGTCCTCTTGAGACGATCTGCACTGTCGCTGACAGCTGTAGGATCAGGGATGAAGAAGTTCCTTTCTTCGTTGGTATTGCTATCTTTCATAGGGAAAGATGTGCTATTCCACTTCACTGACATGGTAGTGAAATCGAACTTGATTCTTAGATCGGAGAGAATGTCTCGACCTATGATCATGTCATCCGCCCCCAAGTTCTTGGTGGCGTGCAAGTTCCATTCGATATTTCTATCATCGTGGAACTCAGGAGTCATAAGTGCACCCTTACACTTCGTGCTGGAGTTTAATTCCTTTACAGGGGTAGTCCATAGTGTTTGGACGCCCCCATGATCCTTCATGCTTAATCTCTTAGCATGAATTTGGGTAATCAAGGTTCCGGATGCTCCTGTATCCATGCAGTAAGCAACGGAGTGTAACGGGTTTTTGTTTCCCTTTTTCTCGTCTGTTAAATCTAACATAGACGATAGTTTTGAGGTCTCTTGTCTTGCGACGTTGACGAGGTGGTTGGCCACGGACGAGGTTAACAATGCTGGATAGATCTCAGATATCTAGTTGAGCAGCTTCTAGGCAATTTATCTAATTTGCCGTAGGTTCCTCCGTTGCAAACAATTTTGTTTACTTAGTTAGTGAGATATCTTCATCACTTCAGTATGAGACATCGGAAATGGTTCGATTGACCATCTCATCCTGCGCCTAATCTTCGAGACGGGAGATCTTCTCCTTCTGAATGATTGAAGTCGATCGGCAAGCAGACACCCTGTCGTGCTGCAGCCATTTTCTTGTTCATCCATGTTGAGGACCCTACAGAGGAGTCATCCTTGTTGTCCGAGGAGTCGCCTCTTGGGGAACTGTTTTTGCGTTTGGCAACACTGGTTGCATTCGCTTTTCTACTTGCGATCCGCCTTGACCACAGCGTTGGAACTTCTCATAGGACAGAGAGTTCCTTCTTGGTGTAGGAACTTGGACTGTCGTAGACTTGCTTCCAGTCTTGTTTTGTTGTACGTGGCTTGCTTCGTTTCAGACAGGACTTGGCTTTGAGTTTCTTCAGAGTCATCAATCAGCAGTATGTTAGTGCTGGCTCGTGTTATCACTACCCACTTTCTTCGTCTTGGAAGAATGGTCGTTGTGTGCGAGTAGCTTGTACTTCTTGCTGTTGTTCTTCTTCGAAAGGAGCTTGCTTGGCATCACTGCCTTGTCAAAGTCTTCAGCGGATTCCATGCGCTCACAGAATCCAATGAGAGCTGTCATCTCGGCAGTGAAAGGATCGAAGTCGTGTTCGTCCATCTTGCGCATCCAGGAACGAGGAATGCCATGACAGATGATGTCGATGAATTCGTCCTGATTCAACTGTTGATTGACACCGAAAGGTGGCAAACATGGAAGCTCATCGGTATTCATCCGAGTGAGGTTGTTGATGTAGGCGCGAGTTGTCATCTCGCTAGGCTTACGCATCTTGCGACGCATGAAGCATTTCTGTTTTTCGAGAGCTTTGTAAGGACAGGCTGCTTCGATAACCGCGTTGATTCCAAAGGTGATGTCAGCATCGCTTATAGCGGGTTCCGCTGCACCGTCCCATGCGGCATGGACACGAGCCTGGAAGGCTACTTCGGTTTCTCCAGAAGTCACATCGCGTGGAGGAATTGCGTTCACAGCAATTTGTCGTAGGGCGTTATGACGCACGGCACGATGGCCTGCACACCCAGCTTCGTAGGCACTCTTCGCAGAGCTGGAAGTCATCTCCTTGAGAAGGCGATGTTTGTCGTCGGGACTAGCAAGGTTGAGTCCAACGAAGACCTTCTCCATATTTGTAGCCCACTTGATGGTCTGACGTGGAGTGTTGGAACGATTGATGATGGCTACCTTGAAGGTGTATTTGGCACTGTTTGCATCTGCAGGAACGGTGCGAAGTTTGTAGGTGGTTGCACGAGAATCGTCGATCTCGGCGTCTTCGTCATTGTCGACGAGAGGAAGAATGGGTTTGTCACGTGACTGTTTCTCGAAGTTGGTGAACGCATGC